TTAATCACATTTTAAAATGAGTTTGTTTATTGTCAGACCAGAATATTTTTTTAAAAACAAACAAGCCAAAAACTATTTTGATTTTAATCAAAAATGTATTTTCCTCATAAAAAAATTTCACATACTCACTGTGTCTACTCTACAGAATTTGTCCATTTCATTACACCATGTGTCAATTCTAGTTTTTCTGTTCACTGCAAAAACTCGTGGCTATTGTGTGTAATACAGCACAGGAGGAGGTATTGCTCAGTTCCACTACTCTTATATAATAAAAAAAAGAAAAATACAGAAAATGTTCTTGGCTATTTGTACGGTATTCCAGACTTAAAGTCTCATGAAAGTTCTAGAAAATGGAGTTAATTGTATTTGGTTGGTAGAATACCCTTAGAAGCCATCTAGTTAAAATTCTTCTCTTACGCTGCTTCAGTACATATTCCCATTTCTCGGTGGCAGCAAAGTCCGGGCATCTAATTTCTAAAAGAAATACTTTTTCTTGTGGCCTTTTTATTCAGCACAAATGCAGTCATGTGCTTTTTATTTCAGAAATTAAGTTATATACCGACATATTTATGGCATATTGGTTGGTACACCTATTACAGTTGCTTTTACTTCCATTGCTGTGCTTTTTTCTTTGCCCATATCCCAAAGACTGATCAGAGGAGGATAAAGCTCATTGAGTGAAAAGGATTGTTTCTTCAGGTAATTCTTTAAATAGCTGTGTCCTACATCATAGCTCACCTCTTGTGAGATGCAGCTGTAGAGATACACCACAGAGGTGATTCCCAGAAGAGCACCAAGGCAGGCAAGGAATCCTATTACGTTGTTCTTTTCATAGTCTTTCATTGTGAAGTCCAATCCTTTTGTGGTTACATTGACACATTGCTTCTTATTCTGTGGATAGATAGTGGGAATATCTATGCAAATTTTGTATTCAGTTGATGGATTTAGATGTGTAAGATTATATACCTTTATATCAGATGGAATTCGAGCACTCTGTGCAGCCTGAGAGTTTTCAGCTTTCAGAAAGGCTGTCCATCTAATGCTGGACTTCAGAATTTTAGAACTTGCTTTCCATGAAACCAAAACAGAGTTAGACTTTATATCTTTTATTTTAATATTCAAAGATCCATTACTGTTCTGAGGGAAAGATCCATCCACTTTAATCAGGACTGACTTTAAGTCTGCCCCTACTAAATTTGTCGCTATACATGTGTACAAGCCGCTTTCTTTTTGAGTTACTTCACTTATGTCTAATGTTCCTTCAGAATGAATGTAGTATTTATTAGAAATAGTATTAGGCAAAAGTTTGTGTCCTGATGGTGTTATCCAGTAGATTTCGGGTTCTGGTTCTGCTGTTGCTCTGCAGTGTAAGGAAATATGGCTACCAGCTTTTATATCAAGAGTAGATGGAAAACTTTCAGGAGCTATCAAGGGGAGACAGATTTCCATCATTTCCCTGAAGTGTATCTGTCTCACATTCTGGCCTTGGAATTCGGGAGGGTCTACGCAAAACAGTGACTCTGGTTCCATGAAGCGAATATTTGTTTTATTCATGTTAATCCAGCGGATGACGCAATCACATCTAATGGGATTGCTGTGTATACTAATTTCCTTGAGGTTAGGCAAGGACTCTATTGTACTACGGTACAGGGCACTAAGTGCATTGCTGTTGAGCATGAGAGATTCCAGCTTGGGAAGTCTGCAGAATGCGTTTGGATGAATGTATGATAATCTGGGATTATTGGTAGCTTCTATTTTTCTTAAATCTGGCAAATTATCAACAGCAAGACTATCTATAGAAATCAGTTCAGGCATGTTATTAATTCCTAACTCTTTTAGGTGCAACATATTGCTAAAATCTCCTCTTCGTATTCTGTTAATGGGATTCTTATTTAGATCCAGAAATTTAAGATTTGTAACCTTTTGAAGAGCAATGTGGGGCACTCTGACAAATCTGTTGTCATAAAATGATATGCTTTCTAAATTGTCAAGGCCAACCAAAGCATTATCGGGTATTTCAGTAAGATTTATGCCTGCTAAAACTAGGCTGCGCAGGTTGATAAGAGGCTTAAAGTTCATATCTTCAATTCTGATTATTGGATTTTCTCCAATCATGAGAATCTCAAGATTAGGAATAGCTTCAAACCACTTACTGTTGATCATTTGCAGACTATTTGAATTGAGATGAAGTCTGAGAAGATTACTGAGGCCTATGAAAGCCCCCGGTGCAATCACAGAAAGCAGGTTATGATTAATGTAAAGCTCTTGTAAATTGTGGAGTCCAGAGAGACATTCTTCAGGGAGTTCAGTAAGTTTGTTTTCCTCAAGGTACACTGAAAGCAGCTGTGGTATCTTCCTAAGATTTATACTGGTCACTGAAGATAAATTGTTTTGAGATAAATCCAGGCCAGTTAAATTCACTGGGAGGTCTACTGAATGTTCAATTTTTGCAATATTATTAGTCTGTAGAAGTAGAACCTGTGTGTCGGCAGGCAGTCTGGCTGGAAAACTAGAAAGACCTAAATCATTGCAGTCCACTGTTGGTGCCTCCATATACGCAGACCTGGGGGTGAACCAAGGTCTAATCTCACATATGCATGACTCTGGGCAGTCCGCTTTTTTTTTTTTTTTCCAAGTAGAAAATTAATTTTGAGTTGCATGTCCTTCATTTTAGCTCAAATGTTCAGAAAAGTAACAGGATCCTTACTGTTCCACAGTTACTGTTTTGGAATTCAATGTGACCTGGTCAATTGATAAAACACACGCTTGCATTTGCAAATGATGAACGCCAAAGACTTTCTTCTTGAGGATAAAAGATAACTTTGCAACCAACTTGTCCAGTAGTAAGAGGCATTTTATGGAAATGAAGGTCACTCTGTCCTTGATGACATAAAATTGATAAGCTTTGTGAGGATGAAGCATGTATAGATGGTCATAGGAGATTAAGCAATTCATTTATTTAGTAGTATTATCTTCAAATCCCATGATTGATTAGTGTTTGCAGGAGTGACAGGATGACCTAAAATATAAGAAGAGGAAATAATTAGGATAAGAAACTATAAAGTTATAAATTAATTTAGCTTTCTCTTGCTGTCTAATATTAATTATTGCAAGTAAAAAAAGAAAATGACTGTGGTACCTAGAGTATTGTACTGGTATCCAGACAGTGTAAATGAAGTTAATATAGTAATATATCTTTAGACTTGCAGCTTGTCATACATCCAGTTGAGCGTTGCTCTACGGAGCGATGAAGATCCACAAAGTATAAGGCAAAATATATCAGTGAGATTTTTCTAAGTATTTTATCCTCCTTTAGAATATTTTCTTTTTTCTTACAGTTATCACCAGAAGCAGACTCAATTATATTGGCTTTGAAAGTGTTAAAACTGAGCAAAATCTTGCAGAGCATGAATATTTAACTTTTGAACATGAAGTTTATGAACATGAAGAACATAACATGTGTAAGCAAAGGTAAATGGAATGGATGGATTAATACACATTCCTAATAATGATTTTCTTAGGCAAAGCTGTAAGGTAATTATATAGAAATATACAAAATGGATAATCCACAGGTTTTATCATTTTCTAATTCTTTTTGTAGCTGCTGTTTATGAAGAAAACTTGCTTATTATTAAAGAGATAATTAGAAATAAATGTGTACCTCATAATAAATAGCTTATCATCTGGGCAAATTCATTCTAATTACTGGCTTGCTTATTTTGGCTTAGGAAGAAAATACAACTTCAGTGGCAAGAAATAATAGTAACAAATTGTAAAGACAAGTAAAGACACTTGTCTTTAGAGAGATTAGAAAGGAAGGAAAAAGCCAGACTAGTAATCTCTCCTTTGGTCTATAGCTGTGTGAGACTTTGAAGTCTGCTATGAAGTTGCTGGTCGTCTTCATGTCCCAAATGATTAAATAAAGGCTGAAGGCTTAGCATCTTGAAGGATACCCCATCCAATGTATCCTTTCTTCGGATTTTTGGTATCTACTCACTTTTTCTGGGGAAAAAAATCTTACTAAGAGTGTACATTGTATTCCAAGGCACATAAGTAAAAAGCTTCTGTCTTCATATATGAAGGAGGACACATTCATTGCTGCATTTACTTCAGAGTACTGCCTATACCTTGACTCTAACCATTGTCTCAGAAGTCTGCCATATGATACATATTATGCCCTTTCTCCCTTTACCTCTTGTGTTAAAATTCACAAATATGTTGTTTAGAAACTGTAAGATAAGATCAGTACTTCACTGACGTTCATAAATAACTTTTGAGGTGTTGCTGCTATAGATAGACAGAATTAGTGAATACTTTAAAGAGTCAAGCGTCAAGGCTTTGGATTTTAGATTTCCTTTCCAGGCCGAGGAGGAAATGGACATATTGCCAGAACAGACTTTCCTTATCAGCTGAGAAGAAATGTGTTGGATCGGGTTGAGTGACGCATGAATTGGGCCAACCTGAAGTACATTTGGCAAGTCTTTTAGGCTGCCGTATGTATTATGTACATTTAAGGACATTTCATATTTTACTTTAACATATGAGTGTATTAATAAAATGAACAGAGAATGTGTGAGATAAACATACAGAAAACATTCTGCTGTTTTGAAGACTAATAATATGTTTTTATGGAAATGGCCCAGTTTATACTGAAATGCAAAGAAAAGCTGATAGAAAATAATGACAATATATTCTATTTCTATTTCTAAGAGGTGAACCCAAGACTTACAGAAAAATAAAGGCTTGCATGGACAGCTGATGCCGATAACTTGCTCATAATTTAGCCATCAGAAGGCAAGGTTGTATGCCAATATGCAGAACTGTCCCTTTTATTAGGATCTCTCTGTAAAAATCATTCTGTGCCAAGTGCATAGATATAATTTACTATGTTGGTAGTAGTGGTTTTGTGGGGGCATTTTGTGAGTCCTGTTCTTGATGTATTTTCTACAGCACGTGCCCCATTGACTTCTGGCATTTTATTTAAATTATATATTACAAATATATCTGTAAGCATGACAGATACAAAATATAAGCTTGTAATAATCGAAAGGTCATTGAAAATCTTACACGAATAATAAATTAATTGAGATGAGCTACTTTTGATATCTACATTCAGTACTTAGATGCCACTAAGATGCTCAGAACTTCTGCTTTCACAATAGGAGTGTATTCTGGGGAGGTATGACTACATAACTGACCAGATTTTCTGGTCCTCCCTGGAAATCTGTTGGGCACTGTGAAAGAGAGGATGTAGAGCAAGATGGACTTTTCTTATGTAAAGTCCTAGGTAACTGAATGACTGTACCAATAAAAGCACATAAGCTACTACAATTTTGTGTATGTGGAGCCACCATCTTGGATTTATTTTATACTTCAGCATCTATGGGATTCTCAGGCCACGAACAGGAGTACCAGTGAACATTTTTGTATCGTATCTATTAGACTGGGCTTTCCACAAAAGACATCAAAGATGTGGGAGATCCAGGTTGAAATCCTTCTTCCTTATGATTTAATCTAATGTCTTTTGTCTTTCTGGTGAATGCTTCTGCTGATAAGCCATCAGCTCAAGCTCGTATGGTGTCCTAGCACAAATCTTATTTCTTATTTCTTATCTTATTTCTCCAGATAAATAGCTTCTGCCTTGTATAAAATATTGACTGGGGTTGAATGCCTTGATTGTAGAATAATTTTCACACTCTCTCCCAGCCTGCAAAGTCATCCTTCCAGAATATACTATTTCATAAAGATTTTTAGTTTAAATAGTGTCATATTTCTGCATTATTTTATAAAAAACGATTTGCTATTGATTATCATTCATGATATGGAATAAAAGAATACTTCTGGAGTAGTATGGATATCTATGGTGGTTCAATTAGAAGAGGATGCTCTTGAGATAGTACACAGAAAGAGAGAAGCAGTGAAATGCATAGGGAAACCTGTATAGAGTCATTTGAATAGCAAAATATTGTCTGGAGATTTTTGTTTTTGATAATATTTTTGTGTGAAACTTCAATATATAATATTGACAAAGAAAGGACGAAATCATGGATTGCTGATGTTAAGTTTTCTAGTCACATTTGAAGAGATCAAAGCACAGAATCAAGTTATGCAGTATGACTTTGCGTATGTCAGCTGATTTCATAGACTGTGTGTGCATGTGTGTAATTAATTTCTAACCCTGAGCCTTGAGATATGTACAAAGCATTTTGAACTGAGAAGGGAGCTACAGTTTACTATAATAAAATAAATCATATTTTGCACTCAATATTATAGAGTGTAAGCACAGTTCCTTTTCCGTGAAGCATGTAGCCTCACAAAGAAATGTTTATACTGGAAAGTAAGCATTTAACTTTGTCATACTGGATTTTTCATGAAAAGCTATGGTGAGTCTCTCTAATGTTGGATATAAAATATCATTTTTATAATGGTGTGTATCTAGTTTCTCTAAGTTGTTATTTCTGCTTCACATACCTAAAAAGTTGTGAGTAATGTGTTTAGCGCTAAATGAAATGAGAGAGTGAAAACTGATGTACATTGGAATGTCTCATCTTACAATAAATATGGCAAAGAGTCTGGTCTATAACAGTTCCCATAAACAAAAGCTTATATATTGGAGAATTCTTAATTACGTAATTTTCTTCCTATACAGTAACTAAAATTGCTTTCTGATGAATCTGTGATTATTGAACATGTAGATGATTTTACTCAAAGGCAGGAGCCTCCTGAATACTTTGATTGCCTTTCATCATTAATGTAACTGATAACAGTAAATAAAGATGAAACTGAAGTGCCCTTACTGATAGTGATTTTCAGAGTGTTTTATTAATACCGTCTAATAATTTGAAGCTAAGTACTCTTTCCAACTGCAGCTTTATGTGAAATTTTTGCATTTCAAATGTCTTTCAATGTCAATGGTTCTAAAGGTGCTGAGAAGTAGAAAGAGAAACAAAAGGTCATTTACCCTGTTCCTTTGAACAATATTGAAGGTATTTTAGATTTACTTACACAAGTGTTTATGTGCAAAAGTACATATGTGCTTCCTCGAAATGGTAGTTTGAGTGGTGGATTTGTGTCAGCATTGTCTATAAAATAAAAATATTATTTTTAATATAGCTTTTTCTTTAGCGGCCTTTGATTATATCTCAGGGTCTTTGATGGGATGCAAGGGATTCTTAAAACTTGCACCTGCTATGGTGCACAATAGAAAAGTTTGTAGAGATGCGGCTCGGCAGCAAATTATCATCACTAAGCTGAGCTGTGGGATAAGCGTTTTCACACAAGCAATGGCAAAAACTTTGTATCATAGTTTAGGAGTCGTTAATGTGAAATTCTTCATCCAAGCACATTGATAAATTAGTATGTGCACACTAATTGTGCATTTATTTCCTCATCCACATAAAATGTTGTGGTTTGCTTCCTAATGCCTACCTTAACTAGTCTAAATAGGACTGCATCTAAGTTATTTATTATTGCTAATTAGTAATAATAATTATTCAGTGTTTTTATTATTGTTCTCCCACACCAGAATTTCTATCCTAAAACTGTTTAAATCTTTTTGGACAAATTCTTTAATTTATTCTGAAAGTCCATCCCAATTATTTGCAGTTCACAGCTACCGTCTTATGAAATATGGTGCGTCTCTTGCTTTTAAAGTTATATCCCTTGCTTTAAAAAAATACACCCTGGATTCTTGATGTGTGTGACTCTTGGCAGGCTAATTATCTCTTCTGTAGACAATAATTGGTAATTCTTAATTAGATTTGTTTCATTTACTACTATTGACAGCTGAAACATTGGTTTACAAGCGGGTATCACCATTATTTGAGCTGGAAAAGACATTCAGGGAATGAATAAACTGAGCAACGTTTCTCATCACTGGAGCAACAGACAGCTAAGAACCAAGTCAGAGTGGGCAGAAAGGAAAAGAAACACGTCAGGGTTTGGCAATCTTTCTTTTCCACTTCAGCAGTTAGAGAGACAGTGATAAAAACTAAAAATGCAGCAGCTACACTGCAATGT